TGTATCAAATCTCTTTCTCACGTGTTTTCTCTGTTTCTCTCTGTTATTTTCTCTCTGTTATTTTCTGTTCCGTTTCTCTCTCTGCCTCCTCCTGAAAATGGATCAAAAATATCCTTAAATAAGGGTTTGGGGCGGCTGGGATTGATTAGGGAAACCCTAGGTGGCAAAAATAGGTTTAATGAAAATTTTCAAAACTGCATCTTCTGCGGAGCAGGTCTAGTGATCGGGAGCGGGTGCTCTTTTTCTTCAGAATCTTCAAAAAGATCCAATTTCCCTCCTTTTTCGCCAAGTCCCATTGTGAGTTCCAATCCTCCTAACCAGCCTCTTTTTGACCTAAAATGACTTAAAGTAAAGCAAAAGTCTCGATAAAAACCTACAAAACAAATGTTAGAATGCGCCAAAAGCGCATTATATCAATATGTTTCATATATTGTTCATACGTACGATCCCAACTTAAATTTCAGATAAATAAACAACGGTGTTGAAATTGTAGCCAAACAATTTTGACGGATATCGTTTTTGTCCTAGATCGGAAACACCAAAGAAGATAGTTTCAACTCTAATTGTGGTACAAACATCACTGAAGTTACTTTTGGGTTGACCAAATTATCCAACATGAATGAGGAATTAAAGCTTTACCACTGGATGATGTGAATAGAGTCGGATATGATCCAATTTTCCTCCTTTTTCGCCAAGTCCCATTGTGAGTTCCAATCTTCCATTCCAGCCTCTTTTTGACCTAAAATGACTTAAAGTAAAGCAAAAGGCTCGATAAAAACCTACAAAACAAATGTTAGAATGCGCCAAAAATGCATTATATCAATATGTTTCATATATTGTTAATACGTACGATCCCAACTTAAATTTCAGATAAATAAACAACGGTGTTGAAATTGTAGCCAAACAATTTTGACGGATATCGTTTTTGTCCTAGATCGGAAACACCAAAGAAGATAGTTTCAACTCTAATTGTGGTACAAACATCACTGAAGTTACTTTTGGGTTGACCAAATTATCCAACATGAATGAGGAATTAAAACTTTACCACTGGATGATGTGAATAGAGTCGGATATGAACCAATTCACTAAGTACTTTTGGAGAAGGAAAAATAAAATCTAGGATTTCAGTTTCAAATTTGAGTAAGAGAATAAAAATTCGACAAAGGCAATAATGTCGTTCAAGTCAAATCCTACATGTTTTTTGCTGATATCATTAAAATCAACGTCCATCGAATTATCAAATTTGACAATGAAGAATTTTGAACTAGATATATCAAGACCTAGCAAGCTTTACACGGTGTGGATCGTTGCTTCGTCGATATGGTTTAAACTACAACATAAGAAACTCTACACTACCACGCCTTGGGAAAATTTCTACTACACCCTGTCGTATCCTCCTGCCTTGCCATCCCATGAGCCATCTGACCGGATCTCCCATCCTACAGGTCTGGTAAAGGGGTGAGTATTGAATACTCAGTAAGATGGTTTACTCCGTCTCACGACCTAATACAATCTAACTACCCTTGACAACTATTAGCACCATATGATGCATTAGCACCACGTGCCACACCACACAATGATAACTAGGCAAGCCCCACCGGCTACCTCCTAGTTACCACCCAATAAGGTAGTACAAAGGTGTTCACCGGACACATTCAGAGTATTTTCACACCATACACACACTCCACTTAAGGTACAAAGGTGTCCACTTGACACATTCAGAGTACCACACACATAGTAGCTAGCCCGTCGGCCAACTTTCACCTCTCCTTAACTCCCTGAGCCCTTCCAGCAGCAACTTTGTGCGGTTAGGTCTGCGTGTCACTTTTTCAGGCCAAACACAAACAAGTCAGCGACGAATGCCCATACAAACGCCCTTATACAATAATTAAAGGCGGCATTATGAACCTACTAACCTACCAATTTGTATGCCTCTCTACTCTATACTCTCCTAAGGTTCACAATTATTGTCTACTCCAATTTAAACCTAGTCCATTACTCTAAGTTCTCAAGCAATAGCTGAAACATTTCAACTAATACATTTGTCCCGTATGGTCGACTCCAAGTAAGCATGGCTATCCAATACGTTACCCAAGTCAACATCTATGTCCATACGGCATCTGTCCCTGCAAAAATACAAACATAAAACTATCTGTTAAATGTGGATAGCTCACGATACCAATTTGAATCGTGGACACCCCAAACGATATCGTGTATATCATTTATCCCCTTGATCGTATGCCAACTAGGCCGAGTTCGTCAAACCTTTCTGACTTTTCTCGTACTAGACGTTACCTAAGACCTTGTGTCGCGTTGGCTAAGGTAGCACTACAATAACCATTTCGATTATCCTAATAGCTTTCCTGCCTGGTCCATAATACTCCGTATTGGACTATCGGATCCTATCAAACAAGCGAACCATCGGGTAGAATTACTTCATGTAGAACGGCAGCTCTACCATAGCTCTATTTCCATGGTTTACGGTTGGTTAGTCTTTCTACCTTTCAGCTTCCTGGACTAACTTCCCAATCGATCCATGGTAGCTTCCTAGGAAAGGTATAGCTAGCCAATGCAAGACTCCATCCTAAACAAACCTAACAATATGAATGGGAGTTGATCTCCAATTGTGATCCTCCCATACAAACCACAGCCTTCCTTCAAGCCACCAAGCAACGAGTCACTCTTGTCCTTCCCTAAGCTGGTCAAGTTTTCTCGAGGCTATGATCGAGTCCCACGCCCGGAATACCCTTAGCACGTGTATCCTAACCAATAGCCCATCGTGATGCTGACTGAATTGCCTGTCAAGACCTACTGGTCCTGCCAAGATTCCAACCAACTCCACCTCTAAGTCCATAGCCGGATCCACTTTCATCCAACCAGATGTTCTGCCACTGCACCGTCGGCAAAGTCCGAACTTGCCGGTCTGATCTTGTGTTAATACAGATCAAGGCTGCCTTGGTCTCTCTACCAAGGTTATATAGATCCACGGTACAACATCTCTTAGAGTAACATCAAGCCCAACGTGGCGCGACACGATCTCTATCGAGGCGTGGCACGAT